CTTTTGTTCCGTATTGGCTTTCAAAGGGTTTCAGCTTCCGGTATCCTTCACATTTGGCGCAACAAAAGCCGGTAGATAGTTTCAAATCCCAGCATGGTGATTGAAACCCAGAGAATTGGCTGGTTTGCAAAAAAATAGATTATTTGTGGATATTTCAAATGGTGGTCACCGCTTTAATAATTTATAGGTGTAAAGGACAAGTATTTTTAATTTACAAATTAGCTTCCTCTAAATTCGAAAGAAAAATAATATGCTCGACTCTGGTAATTTAATTTTTGCATTCCGTCAAGTGAAAGTTTTCACGCCCAGTTCCGGGTGAAGTTGTGAATTATGACACCATTGTGGGACAGCTATACGTAAGTTACATATATATAAGCATGATGTATACGTACTTGGAGCTGGCAAACTTTTTCAACTGGGCAAAAAGTTGAGGCCGTGTTAAGCCAAAGTAGTTTAGCCATGGGATTTTTGCACTTCTTGTAGCCAGGAAATGTTTACATATGCGCATAAAGATGCAGCTTCCTCATCCCAGTCGCCTCTGTCTAAAGTTTCCGGAAGAGGGCTTCTGTAAACTCCCAGTTTGGGAAAGAGGGGTCCATGAGAAAACTTTGTTACATTTGTTATGCTCGTAAATTGCGGACACTGAGGCCAAGAAAATCTCATTTGCGCTAAGTAGGCAGTTGACAATGTGGTCGAGCACATCACACTCCCAGATATGTAATTAAATCCGATGTATGTTTTAAATCTATTACGACTGATACTCGGATAGACGTCATCCCAAAACGTGCCTAATAACTAGATTAATCTCTGCCATGACACCATGACCTTCTCACAGTTCAAAGTATATGATATTAATTAGAATATTTTATGAATTTAATAAAATATGAAATGGCTGAAAGCAAATAAACCGAAACTATCGGACCTTTTTTTGTGTAATTTGCGCAAACTAATGTTTTCATTTAGTAAATTAGCTCCGACAGAAATAATTAAAAAACCTTTTCAAGCGTAATACCCTCGATGGTATAAATATTGATGCCACTGGGCTTCGTAGTTGAGAGTGCTGTTCAAGTTTGAATCGAGTCAACACACAGAGTATTAAATATAATACTGAGAGTGAAATTTAAATAATTTTTAAAATGAACAAAGTATTTGTAATGTGTCTGATTGTGGCAACTGCACTCGCCCCTAGCTTAGGTTTGTTGTTACATTAAATCCGGATAATATATGTGTATTGATTTCAAATTAAAATTTAGGCGATCCTTTGGGACGACAGAAACGCCAAGCAAACCAAGGATACGGAATGGGTGGAAGCGGAATGGGAAGAGGAAACGGAATGAACGGAGGAAACGGCGGTGGAAATGGAATGGGAGGACCAAATGGAAATGGAAACGGATATGGAGGTCGAGGTGGAAACGGAATGGGAGGGAACGGAAACAATATGGGTGGAGGATATGGTGGAGGGATGGGAGGACGTGGAGGCAACGGAATGGGTGGGGGGTATGGAGGAGGAATGGGAGGTCCAAATGGAAACGGAATGGGGGGCCGAGGAGGAAACGGAATGGGTGGTGGAATGGGAGGCAATGGCATGGGTGGCGGAATGGGAGGAAACGGGATGGGAGGAGGTATGGGAGGAGGAATGGGAGGGGGAATGGGTGGAGGAATGGGAGGAAACGGAATGGGCGGTGGAATGGGAGGACGCGGAGGAAACGGAATGGGAGGCGGAATGGGAGGAAACGGTATGGGTGGAGGAATGGGCGGAGGAATGGGAGGACGAGGAGGATACGGCAACGGAATGGGCGGCAATGGAATGGGGCCTGGAGGAGGAATGGGAGGCAATGGAATGGGACCAGGAGGAATGGGAGGCCAGGGTGGCTACAACGGACGAGGTGGAATGGGAGGCATGGGCGGGCCACCGGGAATGGGAGGACCCGGCGGACCAAACGGAATGGGCCCTGGCGGCTGGGGTGGCAACAATGGCTATGGAAACAATGGAAATTATCGAAACAACAGTAGCAGCTACAGTACTACCTCCGCTACCACGACAACTGACAGTGGCTGGTAAAATAATTGGTTTCAACCCCAGGACGGATATTTTTAGGGTTAAATGTCGAAAATATATCGTGAAGGCAAAGAAAAAATATTAAAAAAAATATGAATTCAGTAACAAATCTAGAAGGTCCTCGATTTTTATTGAAATATTCATGCGTGCTTAAGCAGCCACTTATTAGGCAACCGAGAAAGTGACTAGGGGAGGGTTAAATATAATACAGCTGCTGGGCATTAACCAAACAAGTCACGCCATCCGTCAAGGGCGGGGACAGCTGGCTTTCTAATAGATTGCCTTATCCTTTAATTGATTACAAATAAACACCAACGGCGTGCGAAAGAGGGAGATGGGTGAACAGCAAGGACAATTTTCTGGTCCTTATCCCGGCTACGTGCTCGATTTTGGCTCGCGAGCATTTCCATATTTGTTTAGGCCTGTTTAGGACTAAAAAAAAAAGGGTGACCTGCGTGACCCTGACCCCTAAGTCGCGCCTGTCTCCATGGCCGTGATCCTGGCCCCCGATCCTGACTCCCGACCCACCCCAACGCTCTCCGCTGTTTGGCCAGGTGCACATGCGTCACTCGACATGCCACACTCGAGCATCGAAAACTTAAAACTACATAAATCTTTATTAGCTTGACTATCTGGGCGGGTGGAGTGGCAAACCCGGGAAAGTGGCAATCAATTAAACAATGTCACAAGTGCTTGCCACACTTGCAGCTATCGATTTGCATGAAGGGGCACGTGCCTGCCAACCCAACTAGTAATGACCCTCTCCTGGATTCGATTTTAACCCATTGGGTCTTCAGGTTAGATATTGTGTCTTAACCACATTGGTTTATTGCCCTAGTTTTTTATCAAATATTTCCAATTAAGGAAGAGTATCCATAGTATTGTCTGCAACCTCCGCCATTCAATAAACCACGGCCAAGTGGTTTTAAACCGCCGGCGGTTACTATGATTGATGTATCAATAAAGTCGTTTGGAGGACCTTTCCTTGAACGAGTATCACATTCCCCATTCGTTCATCCTTCTAAGAAGCTTTGTTGTCTCTTCGCGGCTCTCCTGTCACCCCCATTGGCATTCAATTTTCAAGGATGCTGCCACATCGGGCTAACACTGGCCATCTCGGCAGGCAATCCATTTGGGTCCTGGGCCGAGGATGTGTTTGGTGTTCTGGGTGCCAGCTTCGGACCATTTTATAATTTATCAAAATGAAAATTGATGCCCCGCCGAGGAGAGTGCAGTTCAATTCCCCTCCCCTCGGAATCCGCTGGGTTTTTTATTTTCGGTTGCGTGCTGCACTCGTAAGGGCTCAGGGAGCCAAGACGGCGGAGCATGCCACACGAAATGCCATCGCAAATAGCGAAAATGCTTTCGCAAATATTTAGACGAACTTTTTTCAGGCGACACGCGTTCAGGTCGAGGTCCTGGCCGAGAAGAGAATGCACCAGCTTTAAGACAGCTCCTTTGGACTCGTTCTATGTCTGGTTTTTGTTTCACTTTTGTAGAGTTCTCTAGTTACTGTTTAGTTTGATACTCTATAGATTAAAATATACTTTAAAGAAAGGCTGCTTACGTAGGTTACCTAACTAACTCATAGTAGTTTTTTAACAAAAATATCCTAAGATGCTATTCAGTTATTACCATATAGTTTCTTAATGAGTAGCTACCAATTTTAGAGACTCAACTCTGAGAGTATCCAACAATTCCTTATGCCTTCTCCTTCAAATGCCCACTTGCCGTATATTTTTTCGGACTGCTGGCATTTATGCCAGTTAAGTTGTTGGCCAGTTCGTGACTGCCAGCGGCCTTTATTTGCGCTTGCATTTTCATTTGTGAGTGTAAATAGCATTAAAAATAATTTTCCGGCTTAAAAACGCTCCGCAGAAATAAGAGAAGGGAAAAAGGCAGAAGAAAACCGGAGAGAGAGAGAAGCGCTGACAGCCGGACGGGCTTATGCACTTAATGAAATGTACACGGCAATTGTTACGGCAAGCGAGACGGTGCCGGAGACCAGGCGGAGATGGCCGGAGTCGGTTCCGGACCCGGAGACAAAGATGCGGCGGACATCAATTGGAGGCAACTTGAATCTCGCCACGGCCATCGTTCCATCGTTCCTGGGAAATGGCCATCTCGCATTAAACGGGTTAAGTTCGCTGCCAGCGGGTTAAGCCATCCATGTTGTTTGTCCAACTTAAGTGTTTTTCGGTTTAAATGCATTTCGGTTAAAAGCCCTGGCAAAATATTAACAATTAAATGCCACTGGCAAATGGACAGATTTCTTAATGGAATTGTTATTTAATAAATCGTCAATATTGATTCAAGTTGGCGGACTTGAGCTGCTAATTGTCTAGAAATTCCACAAAGTATTTAATTGGCTAAAGTGAGAGCATTAGAATGACAATTGTGTCCAAGGATGTAACATCTGCCTGACGTTGGCTGTTTGTCTTATCGCTTTGGTTTCATTAGAGACCCAAGGGTTGTGCTTTCCAGAGTATTTGCAAATAAATCTAATTGAAATCCCTCCAACGATAACATCGCCCCAATAAATATTCATGACACTGTTGCCCCTTCTAGCCCCACGCCCACTTCCTGTGTGTTTTTCTTTCATTTGCAAACCAACTGACCTGAGCTTAATGATAATAAAACTGAAAATTCAAAGCGATTTTATGTCCAAATTAGACATTTTGCATAATTATTCCAGGTGAGGTGTGGCTGGCGTATTATCCTCAATGCCAGGACTCGAATTCCAGAACATGGCTGGCCGGAAGGAAATTTCTTCGCCTGTTACGGCTGTCAGGAGAAATTTTGAATTGCAGAGCAGAATGCCAAAATAAGTTATTAGACCGCCCTTTGGTAATTACAGCCACTCGAAGGACTAATTAAGAAATCCCCAAATGAACTCTGACAGTTCAAGTGCCGCTGTCTAACCTTATCAACATCCCAGCCATTAACCAGGTTGGCTGCTTCTAGCCAAAGCTATTTATTGATTGACATAGTCGTCTCCTAACTTCTAAATTTCTTTCTTTTAGAAAAAGACCAAAGCTATGAAAAACAGCCGCCTGGGCGACTTAGGATGCGCGTTTGGTGTTCGGAATATCTGGGAAGTTGGCGTGACAGACGCGCGCCTTCGGTTCACCGCCGAAGGGATCCATCGACTTGCGATCCGTTAAGATGGTGGTGGGCCGGGCAGTGGTCTGGGGCACAACAATCATTTGGTGGCTGGAGCCCGAGGGTATGGTGTGCAGGTGGCTCAGAGACTCCATTCGGTTGTCGAGGTCGATCTCAGCCACTAGCTTGTGGTAGCACGGATGCGAGGGATCAAAGCCAGGCTCCACGTCTGGCTGTGGCGTCAGGTCTCCATGCCCCGAGGAGGGGGTATTAGCAAAGGAGCTAGGTGGGGTGTGAGCATTCAAGATTCCAAGCTCGCTTTCGGGACAGACCTCCGAGCAGGGCATCGATTCCTCCCCCTGATGGCTGTGAGAGCTGGACTCGCTGGTCCACTCGGAGAACTCCTCGGAGATGAGCCGCCGTGCGAGAGGCACGGAGAAGAATTCCTTGTAGTGTAGTTTCCGGCGTCTCTCAAACTCCGTGCGCCGCACCTTTTAAAAGGATTTATTCATAACTTATGAGTTATTAATGTCTTGTCTTACCTTTTCCTCTAGGGACTCTGGGTAATCCTCATCCGCTGAAGAATCCTCAGAGTCGCCGTCTATGCCGAAAGCCGGCATTTCTGTCTTCGAAGTCATGCGGAGCTTCTCGATTAGCACATTCGTGTCCAGTTCCTTGGGCAGATCATCCTCACAGACCCATGGGGTCTTGGGCTCATCAATAATCATGTGCCCGTAGTCCTTGCCTACTGGATGGAAGGTGTTCATGATGTTCACCTCGTCGAACTTGGCGGTCTTTAAGTCGAGGTCATAGTTTTTGGTATAAGTTCCAGACGCCTTGAGGATGCCCTTGACTGTTGGATCGTTCACGTTCGCCATGTTTTGTGTTTAAGGTATTTATGTTTCCTTTTTTTATATTTTTTTAAGTGTAATGCAAGTGTACAAGTGTAAACCCTTCGAACAATGCGGGGGTGTGTGTGGCTTGAGTGTGAGCAAGTTTTCAACTGAATAACAAACTTGAAGGTTTTGGGGACGAAAATGGAAACAACTACTTCGATACAAATTAATTAACAAGTTTCTATTACTCTCTGTTTTCCGAATAGAAATTCAAGTACTTCGTAGTCCCTTTACGGCAATCCCTGATAATCCTGGCTATTGTTTTTGGGTTGAGGATCTACTCGACGGGCTTTGTACTGCCGGTCCTCGACGCTTCCTAGTTCCTGAGAGTATTTTGCAATCGCAGCCACCAGACCACAAAGTAAACTCATTTCGACGTGTCCCGGGTGGAAAGCCAGCCAGGAGTGTGGATGGTGGAGCGCAGTCAGGGCAACACTTCATTATTGATGCTTCGAACTGCAGTTTTTGTTATTGATGTAAACATATTCATCACAAACGTGGTAGCTTCCATACAGTGAACAAGCCGGGGAAGGTAATCGGTGGGGCAACCAAAGCAGTTGCGGCAGTTGCACTCGGTTCTGTGGCAGCTGTCACTTCAAAACACTTCAGTGCACACGATTTTTCCCCCGCCGAACCAGGGGCGTGGAAACTAGGGTTGAGGGTGGCCACCGACAGGATCGGAGGAGCAGCATATTGGGAATTGATTGCAGCACATTATTTCACAATTTTGCCAGCAAATAAACAAGCCTTCTGCCGAAGTGCATTCAGACACGAGCCCAGGCACTCGCAGAAAAAGTGTGTGGTCCAAGGGCATGACTCTGGAAGGAAATACGAGGAGGTAAAGGACCTAAAACTTCTTCCAGTGCACTCTGGCATGCATATGACGAGCAACTCCTTATAAGCCCAGTTTATGCGACAAAACAGCGCCATAAATGTGACGATGACGATGTTGTTTCTCCCTGGGCCTCCCCGACTCTCGCCCATGGTCCTGCCGTGGCATCCTCATTATCACCACCTTGCCGTCATGATGATGTTGCAGGCGATGCCGGCAAACAGTCAACAACTGTTTTCGTGTGCCGGCAAGAGCCTTGCAGCCATGTTTGATTGCCTCTGGCAGGGTCGGGCTGTTGCTGTTGATGTTGATGCTGATGCGATGTTGATGCGGCTAGGATATTTTTCCTTCGATTCCCGGAATTGCAGTTGGCCCGATTGCATTTCTTATGGGAGCTCCTCCTTCACCTCCTCCTGTGCTCCATCAATCGCAACAATGTGCAACGGGAGCAGGATGTGTGCTCTGCGTATCCGTAGCTGTGCGTCCGAATATCTGTATCTGTATCTGTAGTAGTACGTGCTACATATGCGCACAAGTGAGAAGCGTGAGGTGAGATTCGAGGGGGATTGCGAAACGGGCTTCCTTCCTTCCACCCATCAACAGGATTTTATGGCAAAATCATAAATTTTCACCCGATTCTTTCCGCCGTTCTGGGGAGCTTCCGTTTCCGCCGCAAGTTGTATTGGCCTGCAATGCCCCTCTTGTTTTGTGCGAAGATGAAGGCGTGGCTAGAAGGTGCAATTCGTTAAAGTAAGGCCAAGATAGCGTAGAATCTGTTATAAAAGAAGTAACCAAATGAATTTCCCGATCGTTATTAAAATATTTCGTTTTCATTCCAATTCGCTGCCTCATTATTCACCTTTCTGGAAAAAAAGAAGCCGGTCTTTGCCAGTTGGAATGGCAAACGGTTATGCATATTTATTAAAAACTGTCTGCTGCGATTAAAAGCCAATCAGACCAATTGCAAATTCCTTTTATTGGCCTACCTGTCTGTTCTGCGATCCTTGCTTCCTTCCTCCCGCTCCCCGGCCGGTGTCCAGTCTGTAGTTTATAAATATTTAAAATTTAATTTTTGCATTTCCACGCTCACAGCCCACAACCCACAGTTTATATCTTTTTTTTTGCCCATTTCAGGAATGCTTGATGTTGGTTTGCAGTTTGGTTTTTCCACCTCTGGTATTTTGTGGGCAGATAGGGTATTTTCAATAGTAAAGAAGTTTAAATAATAAAGTTTTTTTTTTAATAGGATAAAGTATATAAAATTCTGTGAGAAAACCCTTATGTTTTATGGAAAATGTGGTTTAATATCTATAATTTTTTATCGGGTATCTGGAGGTCGTAAAGCTTTCTTCCTCGTTTGCTTTTGCTATAAGATTAAAATGAGTATACCCCCTGTCTCTTTCACTCCGTGCCCCTTTGCAGTTGCCCCCTTATTCCTCCCCCATCGTACTGGCTTTGCAATCGAAGCGTGAAACGTTCCAAAAGGCAAACACGTTGAGCGCAAATGTACCACGTTTCCTTTTTGGCTTTGCAGCGCCACCCATGGCACCTCCCCCTCGGCCCTCCGCCCCCCGCGGAATTCGTGGCCAGAACCAATACCTGGATCACCTGTGTGTGTTGGCAGTTAGCTACCGCTTGACAGCTTGGCAAACAGTTAAATAAAGTTGGCAGCATCTCCCGACCAAAGCCTGGCGTGTTGGCCTGATTATTATACCCTATACGTGGGTGACTTGGCTCAGAGCTCTATTTGGTTTCAAAATATTTGAGATTATTACTTTTGGTGACAAGACCATTGATTATTTAAACTATTAAGTTACAAAATGAATTATTAAACCTAAGAACGTTCACTTGCTCTCCTTCCTTCCATGAGGAACTATTTAATTAGATGCTTACCAAATTCTGACAGCTTTTTTGAGATAGTTCTTGCTGGACAAGAACTGTTATTTTGGACATGTCTCTCCCTCGAAACCAAACGGAAATTCAATTAAATTTGGCTGTAAACAACATCAGATTAACGGACAGCGACTGACGATCTAATGCTCAGTGAACTGCACTTGAGGAAGTAATTGAATTGGCTGTCAAGCAACATACATTTATGAGAGGTTCTGAGAGCTATAGCTGATGATATTTTTAATATAAAGTCAGCACTGCTCCGCAAGACACTTTGTTATTAGTAAACTCTCTGTTGAATTACAATTTCCTGACAATGGGCTGGCTAATGAATATGAATTATACCAGAACGAGGGCTAGAGCCTCCTTGCCGAAGTGTGTTTGGCCAAGAAGCAAGTAGCAACAAACAGCAAGCCGAAACAAGACAACTGCAAACAAACATTGTACGACAAACAGAGAAGGGGATAAAGCACCAGTCAGACAGGGCTACCCACTTATGTGAGACAACAAGACTTGTGCGACAAAGTTTCTCCTACCAGACTCTGCTGTCTTCTCATATAAGCTTGTTGGTAGTTTTCGCTGCCAGTTACTCTCTATTTTTTCCCTCCAGTCGCATAGTCGGATAGTTGCATTGTCCTCGAACCAAAAACAAACTTCACGGCACAAAACTCGCATAAATTACACGCGCACTAGCAGAAGTCACCAAATGTCAGATGCACTAAAAGCAAAAAGCGAAAACCCACTGACAAAACTACTGGCCAGGAGTACACCTAAAAAAATTAGATCCTTGAGCTTTAAATTCTCCAATTCATAATCATATTCAATGGGGAAATTAGTACACAATTGAGTAAGCCTTTTGAAGCCTTAACCGCCTTCATAATACATTCTTTGTTGGCCCTACAATAATCAAGGAATAAAGAAACCCCCTCGGGGCTAAGTCATCTCCGTTCGCCAAGGTCCGGGCCAACTTTTCGCGAAAGGAAATGCGGCCAATTTGTTGGAGCTGCACTTTCCCCTCAGAGCTCCGTTTTTTTCAATGGCGGCCTTCAAAACTGACAGTCGCCGTGGGCATTGCAGAAATGAATAGAGCAAGTCCAAAAAAAAAGTAGAAACATGACCAAACAAAATCGAATCATCACCCGAAAAAAATAAACATTAACTATGATTTATGATACGGTTCTGCCACATTTTTTCCAGTTTAGTCAGCAAAACTTTCGCATTCGAGTCAAATTATCCTTTGCAATTAAGCTACACAATAAAACGAGTATTGTTTGGTTTTAAAAAAGTGCAATTACTCTAATTGGCACATTTTAAATAATCTCAGGGTTTTTAAACTAAAAATTGGATAAATTAAACAGGTCAAAATCAAGATGCTTTGCCCTTTCATCGATGGTCGAAAGTAATCATCTGATGGGCCTGGCTTGGCTTGGCCATTTACTCCCATTCATTTTCCATGAAAATGAAAATCGGCCAGTTGATTGGCAAAACAAAACTTGACCAGAGGCCTCTGTCCAGAGAGCTCATATCAGATGCCTATTTGTCGGCCAGTGCCTGTGTAATGGACATTCAGTATGGAGAGGCGCTTCAAATGGGAAACCAAAGAATCGAGATGTTCTGGGAGGGAATGGCAATGAGAATTCATGCAAATGAGTTTAGAGCCAAAATGTGTGGTGGCCCAAAAGCCAAGCAAAAAGATGCATTCTCCTTGGGGTCCTGGCTTTCTTTTCTGTGAGACCTCACCTGTATCTAGGGCCATTAAGGTACAAAAATAATAAATCGGCTATAAGATTTGTGTAAAGTATGCCAGAAAACTGACTTTAATTGAAATTAAAATTTTTGAAACCGCGATGGAGCCAAGTTTACCTTTTATTTGACTTCCTGAAGCAGACTGGATACTCAAGCATTGTGGAAGGATAACTGACGAACTGTATCTGGTTTAGTTTGCTAACTGAAGCCTTGGCCTCAGATGCCTGCGATTCTCGGTTTCCAAACAGAAGCCCTGGGCAGACTTCCACAATTTGCATCCTCCCCCTCTGGCTCTAACTGCTCTTTTGAGGAAAGTTCAACAAAAAGCTGGCCAAAACCATTGTAATTAAAAGCAACGTGAAGTCAAAACAGATAAATATCTTTCTTAAGACAACTAAAAAATGTTGTACAAAAATACATTATTTTCGGTAATTAAAGCAAGAGGATGAATTTTTGACAAACTTTCTCAATATTCTATAGAATAGAAGCCAAAGTGGCAATTCTGGATGGTCGTAACCAATAGATTGTGCGTGGAATATCATACTAAGCCAAGTGTCCTTGAATAAAGTCGAGACTCTGGACTAAAGCCGTACATATTCGTAAGCCTCGTCTGGTGGGCAACCCTATGCTTATCCCGATTCCCACCTAAACCATCCTGCAGA